AGAGTATATATATATATTTAAAGATGGTGTTTCACCATGATGGCCAGGCTGGTCTTGAACCCCTGACCTCAGGTGATCCACACACCTTGGCCTCCCAAAGTGCTAGGATTATAGGCGTGAGCCACAGTGTCCGGCAAGAGTAGGTATTAAGAGAAAACCAAAGACCACATGTTCTTACTCATAAGTGGGAGCTGAACAATGAGAACACATAGACACAGGGAGGGGAAAAACATAAGCTGGGCCACAGTGGGAGAGAGAGCATCAGGATAAATAGCTAATGCATGTGGGGCTTAATGCCTAGGTGACGGGTTGATAGGCAAGCAAACCATCATGGCATATGTTTACCAATGTAACAAACCTGCACATATTGCACATATATCTTGGAATGTAAAATTAAATAAGAAATTTTAAAACAAGTCATTTCAATGACTAATATAAATTCTACTACCTCCAAATGAGTGAAGGCACTGTAATCAGAGTACATGTAAAGACCTTTTTCCAAAGTTGTTTGCTCAACTCTGTCTTCCTTGGATATGCATACCAGCAGTGTTTCCCAGTGATCAGAACTTCATGATTCAATATTGACAAGGAAATATTCAGTTCTCATTTTTATCATTGAATCAAAAGGCTCAAAGGAAACCGCTCTAAAAGAGACCTAACAGAAAAATCTACCTGCATTTCCAGAATCATCTGTTAATTTTTTAGTAAATATACTTATCTGTGATGCTGGTAATATTTTAGTAAATATACTTATCTGTGATGTGATTCAGTTGTAAAGGCTATTACTGTCACGATACTTTGTCTTTAAGTTTTCTTCCTAAATTTGTCCTTGTCCAGGAGAATTTCAGTAATAGCACATAGGCAGTTTATTGAAGACAAGCTCCAGAAAAACTAACAGAATACTTTACTCTTGACAACATACTTATTAGTCACCTACAATATATTATAATATAATACAAATGTATGCACAAGGATTCCTTAATATACTTGATATGAAATATTGATATTTTAATGATGGTGGAAAGATACATTTTCTCAGAATATGTATTGCATATCCAGATTATAGAGATCATTCTTACTCATTCTTAATTTTACTGAGGAGGAAATTGAAGCCTAGGTACAGAGAAGTGCCCAAAGTCACAGAATAAGCTAGCTCCCATACTACTGCATGCAATACACTCACTCAATAATCAAATAGGCAAACTCATGTTTTTACAAAAGTATACATGAAGAAATGATGGTTTTCATTTTTACATCATCAGTAATGGTGAACAGCTTAGCTACAATAAAGCATTTTTAAGATTCGCTATAAAATGTAGCTGACCAGCACTGCTTAATATTAACATAAGGGAAATATGTTGCAAACAACAGAAGAAATGTAAAGTGAACGTGTGGGTGGTTACTTTATTCAGTTCTTGATACTTTATAAAATTGTTCATGTCAGAAAAACTCTAAGAGCTAACTCCTGGAAGGGGCAGAATACATAAAGAAACATAATAGAAGGGCTGTTTTATTTTTAAAAACATATATATTATCTTATTTAAAAGTTTATTGATAAAAATATGATTTTTTTTTTCTGGTCAGGCTTAGCGATAAGCAGAAATTCCCTTGGGAAATTTCTTCTACTTTTCTCAAGGCTGAAGAATTTGGTTTTATATAGATTAATGATCCTTGAATTTTATGTCAAAGAAATACTTAATATCCTTTGGATTATGGTGTAGTGCAAGTGATTTTTATGAAATGATATCCTTTATTTGTTTACAGCACAGCAAAAAGGAACTTCATATAATTGTAACACCCCTTCTCAATGCAGTTTCTATTATATCTGAGTTTATTATGTTTTGAACAAAAGGAACATTACTGTTGCCTGATGTCAGACCTCACCAAGGACAAGTCTGCACATCTTTCTTTTATGCTTTTCCCCATGAATATGACAGAAAGCAATGGTAAAATACATCAGATTATGACAATTGTGCAGAGGCTGTTATATGTCTTCAGTTCCTCGTGAAACATTAGCAAAACATCTTTAACCATTGCCTTGCATATACTCATTAATCTTAAATACTCTTTCTTTATAAACATGTAGAAATATGCTGAAAGAGGCAAGATCTAGCAACTTCTAGCTGATCAACCTAGGCTTGTTAACTCATTAGCTTGATTCTGAGATTTAAGTAGAAGGGCAAACAAGAAATTTAGTGTATTCAGTCTCTCCTCACACATTTTTTTCATCTTCATCATCACTGCTCTGGTTCAATGTCTCATCATGCCTAAGCTGATTTATTGCAGTGATCTTACAGTTGATTTACCTGCTTCTTGTGTCTTGCCTCCGGAATGCATTCTTCACAAGGTCCAGATAGTGTTTCAGGCCTGCACTCAGCTCTCTCACTGCCTAGGGTTTCCAAGCATTTTGAGTGTTTGGCATTTCCTACCCCACAACCACCCCCATCCCATCTGGAGGGAATATCTCCCCTCCTCATTCTACTGTCAGTATTTCTAGACTCCAAGTTTATCTGGTTTGGCTTCCTTTTCCTTTCCTCTCATTTTATGATTCTGGGCTTTATGACATTCCCTATCCATGTTATGTGATTGTGATTTGATGAGAATTCTTTATTGATAAAACTTGACGGGTTTCCAGTGGGTTCACGTTAATTCATCTTGCAGAAATATTCATGTGAATCTGTATTTCAGAATATCGGGATTTCTCACATCTCTTCAATCTTTAATGATATTTCTTTCACATTATTCCAATGAAATAAGTTCTGATACTTTTAAGGGCTACATTTTATATATTTTTATCACTGTCAGTGTATAAAAGCCAATTTGACTATTCAAAACATGATATCAGAGTAGTTTTGAACAATGGAAACATTTCCAGGCAAAATGAAGTACATTGTTTCATAAATTGACATTGATCTTCCTTTAAACCTTATTACTAACATATAAATAAGATTGTGAATATCTTCCATGTGTGTCCCCACATATAACATATAAGAGATTATAAAAGTACAGACTTAGTCATCATAGATATGTTGCTTAGGGCCTATATTTGGACATGGTCTGTCTTTAAATGATAAAAAATATTATTTTTCTAATGTGTGGAGAAAACAATAGAATAGTGTAAATCCATGAACACTATTGGCTCTGTTATAGATTTAAAAAGGTGTACAGATTGGGCACAGTTGCTCATGCCTGTAATCCCAGCACTTTGGGTGGCCAAGGTGTGCGGATCACTTAGGTCAGGAGTTCAAGACTAGCTCAGCCAACATGGTAAAACCCCATCTCTACTAATAATACAAAAATTAGCCAGGTATGGTGGTGCATGCATGTAATCCCAGCTGCTCAGGAGGCTGAGGTAGGAGAATCTCTTGAACCCAGGAAGTGGCGGTTGCAGTGAGCCAAGGTTGTGCCACTACATTCCAGCCTGGATGACAGAGCGGGACTATGTCTTAAAAAAAAATGTGTACAAAACTGAGTCTGGACAGAACCCAGTTTTTTTCATCCCTTTTGCCATGTCATCTTATCAAAGCAACATTTGAAAGCCACATAGGCAGTTTCACTGAACAACATAGAATTTGTTGACTACTCACTCTGCCCCAGAGCCAGGGCACACACCAAGCTGGGTGGTATCTGTACACAGTCCTTTATCTAAACCTTTGGGAGTAGATGTGCTTCTGAATGCAATTTTTTTTTTCAGATTTTAGGAAAGTAAAACAGTGCATGCATCTTCTATTACAAAATACCCCCCAGGGTGACCCTAAGCAGTATCCTATAATCAAACACATTAATGTGTCAGCAGTGAAAATCATGACGATTCACTTAGGAATAATAAAGTTTATAAATGGTCTCAAGTCAAAATAAACCAGCTTTTGCAGCCAGAGGAGTTATAGAGACAATTTTTGTTTTATTCAAGTTTTTAGATTTCAGAATTGCAGATAAAGGCTTGTGGAACTGTGATGTTTAATGAAAAATAAAACAGCCTCTGCTCTTAAGGAACTCACAAAGTCTTGATACTTAACTGATTCACACTGGTAGAGCCATACTGGTGTTAAAATATTAAAATATTGTTTTCCAGTGAGAAAGTGGTCTTTACTCCAAGACATCCAAGAACTCCCACTCCACTCCTCTCTTCCACCAGCTTATTATGTCCTGGGGCCCTGGCACCTTCCCTGCGCCCTCCCCATGACCCAACAACGGAAGGACGGATGCTTGGCTCCACAGCCAGCCTCCGTGTTGATTGGTGGGTGCTTGCGCCATACCACGTGTTCAAAATTTAAATGTCCCTTCTAAAAACACAGGCTAGTGATTTTTCTCCAAAAGCCAGAGGATTTTGGCAGGAGGAGGGGAGGTTACTAAGGAGTCTCACTTCTTTATTTTTACTTCAAAGTTAAAATCAGATCAGAGGTTTCAGTAAGCAGAAAGCCAATGAAATTATCTGTCATCCATAAATAACCTTAAGTCTCTACTGCTGGTAGAGGGACAATCAGTCCCCAGGAACACCAGCAGGGCAGAGCGGAACTGGGGAAGGGCCTCTGCTGTCATTTCTCATCAGTGGCTTTTATGATTGCATTCACGATGTTTACCTCAGATGTAAACAAATTCCTCATGTCTTCCTTGATACATTTTTTTCAATATATGTTAGTTTTCAACGTGTCATTATGAAGAGAGACCATGACTTCATGAAAGACCTATTATGGAGAACTTCTCTACATTTTTGAAACAATCACGCTGAACAATTCCAGTTTCACTGAAGCTTAGGTTTTATTTTTTAACTGAAAAATGAGCACAGGCAATTCCATTAAGGTGCCGCAGGGGGCAGGGAGGCAGGCGCCCGCGAGCCCGTGCTACTGCGTGAGCATGCGCAGTGTCGGTGCCTGGGCCCGGCGGGGTCCTCCGCGCAGGTTACGTCAGATAAGGGAGTCCCAGGAGCAGCGACTAGGAATGGTGGCGCTCTGCTTCCAGGTCGTCTTTACAGAAGCCGTGGTCTCTTTGCAGTCTTCCAGCAACAATAGAAGATGGAGACCAGGCCAGAAGACCTGGGAGATTTCATTATTCAGAGGCAACTCTTGGAGCCCTTCTGACACCATAGGAACAATCGCAGCCTCGCCCGGGGTTGGTGAGAGACACATGGAGCCTCGAGCAGCCAGCCCAGGTGAGGCCCCCTTGAGCAACCAATCCTGAGCTGCTCTGGAAGCCAACTAGACAGAGGAACATGAACGAGCATATACCAGGCCAGCCAAAGAACCACCCAGTGGTTACAGAATTGTGAGCTATTAACAAATTTTAGGTGTTTTGAAACTCTAAGTTTTGAGGTGATTTATTAGGCAGGAAAAGGTGATACACAGGCAAAAGGTGAAAGAGTTATTATGAAAGTCTTCAAAGGACAGCAGTTTATTACCTGGTGATTCTTTTAATACATAAGGAAAAAAATGGGATGTAGTATTGAAATATTGCCTAAGCTTAAAACAAGTAACTTTTCCACCATCAATACTTAACCAAGAAGCCCAGCACACTTACTGAATTCTGAGCATAGCCACCCTGGTAGGGGTCCCACTGAGGAATCCACACCTGATACTGCCACTAGATGGTCATACTGGGCAGCACTCACTGTGGGCATCATGGCCAGCCCAGAGTTTTGTCTCCAGGATTAGGGGATCAGGTACATGTGTAACTTTGGAGAATTAGTCTTTCTCCTGTCTCGCAACCATGCCAATAAGAATAAAAATGCAGTAGCTTATCTCATACCCACTGTATTCATAAAGTTCACGGCAACCGTGTTTTTATTCTATTCTATTCTGACATGGTACAATTTTATTCTCTTTTATTGGGGGTGGTTTGCTAGATGTAATTTACTATTTTCTCCTTGTGTGATATTGCTCATATCAGAAATTAAAATACTACTACTAAAAAATTATATTTGATGATTAAAGAAACTAAAACTTTAAATATCTGGTTCAAAAGGACTCTTTAATATTCCTGTTTTGTTTTCTGTTTTCACTGAATTTAATCAGCTCTGATGACTGTACCTATAAATGGGATGTACTGATTTGTCTTCACACTGACTGGTGGGCCAGATGTCAGGTCTGTGACCTAAGCATATGCCAATCAGTATTTTCTTCTTTTAAAAATGTAAAATCTTATTTTGTTTTATTTTAAATTAACTGTTTCAAATTGATGAAAATTATATATATTTATTGCATACAAGATGATATGTTGAAATATGTATATAGTGAAATGACTAAATCAAGATAATTAACATGTACTAATTAGGATTTTTATTGAAAAATGCTCCCACATTTTTGTTTTGCTTTTCTTTTTTTTGAGACAGGATCTTGTTGTGTCTCACAGGCTCGAGGGAAGCGGGGTGATTTCAGATCACTGCAACCTCGGCCTCTAGGGTTCAAGCCATTCTTGGGCCTCAGTCTCTGGAGCAGCTGGGATCACAGGCATGTGCCACCATGCCTGGCTAATATCTTTATCTTTGTAGTTTTAGTACAGACAGAGTTTCACCATGTTGGCCAGGCCAGTCTCAAACACCTGGCCTCAAGTGATTTGATTGCTTCTGCCTCCCAAAGTGCTGTGATTACAGGTGTGAGCCATCATGCCCTGCCAGAAAAATGCTCCCTATTGTAACTTAGCATGAGAAGCAGTGCAGAATAATAGTTAAAAACATGGTTTCTGGGAAAAAAAAAAAAAAAAAAAAAAAAGCAAAACAAAAACCCCAAAACATGGGTTCTGGAACGTGACTTTCTTTGGATGTTTGATAGACTTTCCCTATGAAGCCGCCTGGTACTGGACTATTCCCTGTTGAAGAGTTTCTGAGAACAGATTTAATCTGTTATTGGTTTGTGCAGGCTTTCTATTTCTTCTTGAATTAGTCTTGGTAGATTGTATGTTTTTAGGAATTTATCCCTGTCTTCTAGGTTACCCAATTTGTTGGCATATAATTGTTCTTAATAATTCCCTGTAATCTTTTTTATTTCAGTGCTATGCATTGTAATGTTTACTCTTTAATTTCTGATTTTGTTTATTTGAGGATTCTGCCTTTTTGTCTTAGATAAGGGCTGGTCAATTTCATTTATCTTTTAAAAGAAACAGTTTTTTGTTTCATTTTTTCTATTTGTTTTTCTACTTTTTACCTTGTTTACTTTTGCTCTAGTCAGTATTATTTCCTTTTTTTTTTTTTTTTTTTTTTTTTTTTTTTTCTTTTTTTTTCCTTTTTTACTTTTTCTCTAGTCAGTATTATTTCCTTTTTTTTTTTTTTTTTTTTTTTTGCTGACTTTGTGTTTATTTTAGTTTTTCGGGTGTAAAGTTGTATTGATTTATACAGATTTTTCTTTTTTTACAAAATGTTGGTGTTCAGTGCTATAAACTCTTAATAATGTTTTGGCAGCATTCCATAAATTCTGGTGATTTTATTTTGCATTTTTGTTTGTATCGAGGTATTTTAAAAATATTCTCTTGATGTTCTCTGTACTCAATGATTGTTCAAGAGAGTGTAATTTGGTTTTTATATATTTGTGAATTTTCCTGTTCACTTTCTATTTTTGATTTATTGTTTCATTGCATTGTGCTCTGAGAAGACACTTGGTATTAATATTCTTATATTTGTTAAGACTTGTTTTGTCACCTGACATGTGGTCTGTTCTGGAGAAGGTTTCATGTGAACTTGAGAAGAAGGTGCATTCTACTGTCAGGTGGAAATTTCTGTCTTTGCCTTTTAAGTACATTTGGTCTATTGTTGCTCATGGCTGCTGTTTTCTTATTGATTTTTTATCTGGATGTTCTATTCATTATCGAAAATAGGGACCTGGCAGAGTGGCTCATTTCTGTAATACCAGCACTTTGGGAATAAATTCTGGACTTAAATTTGATACGGACATAAGAGAAATCTACAAAATACTCCTTCTAACAACCACAGAATATACTCTCTTCTCATTTGCACATGAAACATGCCCTAAGATTTACTAAGATTGACCACATTCTCCGTCATAAATCAAGTCTCAACACATTCAAATATAAATTATACCATACATCTTATGAACCACAGTGAAATAAAAATAGAAATCAATACAAAGAGGAACTCTCAAAACCACACAAGTTAATGGAAACTAAATAACTTACAACTTACTTTTGGGTAAGCAACAAAATTAAGGCAGAAATCAAAACATTCTTTGAAGCAAATGAAAATAGAGAAAGAACAGACAAAACTTCTGGGATACAGCAATGGCACTGTTAAGAGGAAAGTTGTTAGTACTAAATGCCTACATTAAGAAGATAGGAAGTTCCCAAATAAACAGCCTAACCTAACACCTGAAAGAACTAGAAAAACAAAAGAAACTAAACCCAAAGTTAGCAAAAGAAAAGAAAAAACTACCTCAGAGAGGAACTGAATGAAATGGAGAACCACCTCCCAACCCCCTGCAAAACAAAACCATGCAAAGGATCAATGAAATGAAAATTTGTTTATTTGAAAGGATAGACAACATGGATAGACCACTAGCTAGGTTAACAAAGAAAAAAAAGGATATCCAAATAAGGACTATCAGAAATGACAAGAGTTTATTTCTGATCCCATAGAAATGCAATAGATCCTCAGGTACTATTATGAACATCTCTATGCATAAATTCCTGGAAAGCATTACCTTCAAAGATTGAACCAGGAAGAAACAGAAATACTGACCAGACCAATAATGAGAAATGAAATTGAATCTGTAAGAAAAAAAGAAAACTCTACCAAGCCAAAAAGTCTTCGGAATAGATGGATTCACAGTCAAAGTCTGCTATACATATAAAGACATGCTGATACCAATCCTAATAAGTTTATTCCAAAAAATTGAGGAAGAGGGAGTCTCCTGACTCATTCTATGAAACTGGTATTATCGTGATACATAAATCTGGCAAAAACACAACTAAAAAGTAAACACAGGCCAATATCCCTGATGACCGTAGATGAAAAGTCCTCCAGAAAATGCTAGCAAACCAAATCCAGCAGCACATCACAAAGCTAATTCACCATTACCAAGTAGGTTTTATTGCCAGCATAAAAGAAGGGTACAACATATACAAATTAATAAATGTGATTTACCACATAAAAAGAATAAAAAATAAAACCATATGATGATCTCAAAAGATACATAAAAAGATTTTGATAAAATCCAGGATCCTCATGATACAATATCTCAATACACTTGGTATTAAAGGAACACACCTCAAAGTAATGAGGGCTATTGATAACAAACCAAGAGCCAACACTATACTGCATTCTCTAATGAGAGAATTACTCAGATTTCACTAACTTAAGACTGGTTTCACTGAAGATTTGAACTAACAACCTTGCAATTATAGACCCTATACCTTAACTACTGTGCCAACAGATCACTTGCATTGCAAAGAGTTAGAAAGCTTTCTTAAGCTGTATTTTGGATGCAAATACTGCACCCTGAGGCAGTGTGACCTGCCTGAAAGCCGGGCAGAGCTGGTGGCTGGCAGAGAAGGAAAAAAAGCTTTTTGCGTCAGTTTAAAACTGAGCTCGCCACCAGACGCTGGGCTGGCTGCAAGTTCCCCGCCCCTGCAGCTTTTGAGACACAGAGACCCTAAAAAGCATTAAATTCCTCTCTCCATATCTCTCTACTTGCTCCTCTCTCTTTTTTTCTCTCATCTCTGTCTCTTTTTCTCCCTACTTTCTCTCTCTCTCTCCTCTGCCCCTCTCTGTCTCTCTTTCTTTTCTGTCTCCTGTCTCTTCTCCTCCCCTATTTTCTTGTCTCTCTTCTCTCTCTTCTTTCTGTCTCTGTCTCCTCTCTCCTCTTTCTCCTCTCTCCTCTCTTTTCTGTTTACTTTTTCTCTTTCTCTTCTTTGTCTCCTCTCTCTGTCTCTCTTTCTTTTTTTTGACAGAAGAGACAATTACTCCTTTTTTACCCTAAATGGGCGAAGATAGTTGCTAGTTTCTTGTTTAAGGTTTGATTCCCTAAGACAGAGAAAAAAACTACACCCAAGTTGTCGGGGGCAGAATTTTCTCTTGGACATGAAAAAGAGGAAGAATGAGGCCTCAATGATAGAATAAGATGAAGAAAAGGAAAGAGAACAGAGTTATTTCCAGGGGTGTAAACTCAATTAGAGTTCCTTGAAGTTAATGGTCACTTGGCCAATGGAGAATATGATCCATCTCAAGAGTAACAGGTTTAAACCATTGTGTATCAGCTAGTAACTGCCTTAGGAAACTAGAGGACTTACAATAAAGACAGAACACAGAACCACAGGAAAGATAAATGGACACGGGGTGGCTGTCCCCCAGATGGGAGACCAGTCTGATGCCTGCCCGGCTAAGGCATACCCGTATAAACCCCAGGCCTGGTCACCTCAGAATTTTCAGTTCTGAGATGAATCACCATTATGCCTTATGATGTCCCCGTGGAACCATGGGTGAAGGCCCATACAAGCCCCGTAGCCTTTCAGCCGTGGGACTACATATATACACACTCACTCTCTCACTTACACTGAGGTTACGGAAAACAACCGAAAACTAAATTACCCGAGCCTCCAGTGAGGCAACCCGAGCCTCCAGTGACGTCTCACGGCAGGCTTGCCTGGTCAGAGTTGCAATGAGTGCGTCTGGTCCCCTGACTCAGGCTTCCCGGACAGACCGGTCCCCTGATTTCTAGACCTGACTTACCTCGGGAGGTTCCCGGGACCCTGAGGAATTTCGGGTGAATGTTGGCCAAGTAGTCTCCCATCCTCCATGGGGCCAGAACTCAGGGGCCCTGGAACGTCTCAGGGGGCGCCCCCCCAGAGGTCACCGAGG